CCAAAGAGGTTGTGTTAGTTTATAGTCCCATTAGCAGTATAAAAGTGTTCCCTTTTCTCCACCTCAAAGCTTTTTAATTTGTGAAGAATGAATATGTTTTCTTGAAGCATTTTACTTTTAAGGTATTGAGTAGAAGCTGTTATAAGATTTTCTGTGGTTAGAATTATTTCACCAAATAGTAAATATAGCTATGTGCTTTAATTTTTTTAAACAAGTGTTAAAAAAAAAATCTTGTTTATCATTAACTGTTTATGTTTTGTTATGTTTTGTTTTGTTTTGTTTTTGAGACAGAGTCTCACTATGTCACCCTGGGTAGAGTGCCGTGGTGTCACAGCTCATAGCAACCTCAAACTTTTGGGCTTAAGTGATTTTCTTGCCTCAGCCTCCCAAGTAGCTGAGACTACAGATGCCTGCCACAGTGCCCGACTATTTTTTGGTTCTAGTTCTCATTGTTGTTTGGCAGGACCAGGCTGGATTTGAACCTGCCAGCCTGCCAGCTCCAGTGTATGTGGCTGGCACCCTAGCTGCTGAGCTACAGGCGCCGAGCCAACTGTTTATGATTTTGAGAGGTTTAAAAATTATGCCTCTGACAAGGCATGTTTTAACTGGTTAGTTTCTAGCATTCCTTTTGTTTAGATAACTGTAATGAATACTGCTCTGATGTTTTGGAGCAGTATTTCTTAAACTAATTTGGAAAAGGAGTAGTTTTTAAAAATTCAAATAAGTCACAGACCAATACGTGTGTATAATATGCATGACTAACATGTAACTTGTACCACACAAATTTGATAATCCCTAAATGATCTATAAATCTGCTGATCACTAATTCTGTTCAGGTACCAGGTGCAGCTCATGCTTGTTATCCTAGCATTCTGGGAGGCCAAGGTAGGAGGATCACTTGCAGTCAGGAGTTGGAGACCAGCCTGAGCAAGAGAGAGACCCCCATTTCTACTAAATACAGAAAAATTAACCAGGTGTGGTGACATGCACCTGTTGTTCCAGCTACTTAGGAGGCTGAGTCAGGAAGATTGCTTGAGCCTGGGAGCTTGAGGTTGCTGTGAGGTAGGCTGAGACCATGACATTTTAGGCCAGGTAACAGAGCAAGACTCTGTCTCAAAAGAAAAAAAAAAATCTGTTCAATGAATCGCTGATCACTCACTTGGATATTGCAAAAATATCAAGTTGCTATAAAAGTTTCTAAATGGCCTGGCATAGTGGCTCACTCCTACAATTCTAGCACTTTGGGAGGATGAGGAGGGGTGAATACTTGAGGTCAGGAGTTCAAGATCAGACTGGGTAGTACAGTAAGACCTTGTCTCTACAAAATAATTTTAAAAATTAGCTGGGCATGATGGTGTTATCTCTAGTCCTAGGAACTTGGGACACTGAGGTGGGAGGACTGTTTAAGCTTCAGGTTTTGAGGTTGCAGTAAACTATGATTGGGGCTTTCCAGCTTGGTTAACAGAGCAAGACTTTGTCTCAAGAAAATAAAAAAGAGAAGTTTCTAAATGCTTCCTTTCAATTTCTAAATTTATATTGTTGGGACTGGTAACAGTTTTTGTATAGTCCTTAGTCCATGTACCCACACTTTCAGAAGCACTGGTTTGGGAAGTCTTGCATGTTAGTTTTATGTTTTTTTAATGTTTTTATGTTTTTTATTCTGATTTATGTGGTGAAGACAGTATATATTCCATATTTTTTTCTTTCTTTTTTTTCAAGACAGGGACTCTCTTTGTTGCTCGGGTTGGAATGCAGCGGCATAATCATAGCTCAGTACACCCTCACTCTCTGAGTAGCTAGGACTATAGGTACATGCTACCACACCCAGCTAATTTTTATTTTTTATAGAGAAAGAATCTTGCTCAAACCCCTGGCCTCAAGTGATCCTCCCACATTGGCCTCCCACCATGTTGGGATTATAGATGTGAGCCACTGTGCCTAGTCTGCATTCTATATTCTTAAAATATAATTCATTCTTTGATTACATTTGGAAATGTGTCCATAATATAACAGTGTGATCTACTTTAACCTCATAACCTCCCTATTGCTGTTTAGAATATTTTGTGTTTTAATTTGGAAATATTCCTAGAGAGCTAGAATAATTATCTTCTGGAATTTTTGAACTTTGGGACATTATTTCTGGTGTTATTTAAAGTTAATAACAAGGCAATTTATATGAGTAGATGCAGATTGTTTGAATGGTGCTATAACTGTAAGATAGTCAAACATTGCTCAAGTCTGTTATAAAATCAATTGTGTTTTTAAAGCGCCACATACAATCTCCTTGGGGTTCTAATAGTAGGGAGTTCAGAAGCAAGGAGAGGTCAGGAACAAGTGGTTGCTGATACTTGAATAGAAGTGCTCTTCCAACTTTTCTGTATCTTTTTTTCTTACCTGTACTCCTCTGTAATTGTTTAATACAAACAATTTGTTTTCCTTTATATTGACCCAAACTTGACTCTTTCCCTGCTTAATCATTAAAGAACATTTTCCCTACTTAGTCATTAAAGAGCATTTTTATGTATTCAAAAATTCCTATTACCTCTAGATATCTCTTTTGGGATACAGACTTCTTACTTATGAATGAATTGTTGTAAAAACCCATTTGTAACTTAGTTGTTTTAGAAATCAGAATGTATTTTATAATGGAGAGAAGATAAATGGTGATTAGTTTCTCATTAGACCCATAAAAAAGCCCATTTAACACATAGCAGTTCTCTCTTAATAGAACTATAAAACCTAACAACCATATGTGACAGTGTTTCCATGAGAAAGTACATTAAAAAATGCAGCTCAGACACTGGGAACACTGCAGTAGCTCCAGAGGTTGCCTCACATATATCCAGGCTAGATTATGTCAAACACTGCATATTTCTAACATTGTATATTATTTTATTCTTTTCTGACATTTTCCAGGTGTGTTTGGTAAAAGAGTCAAAAGACTTGGCTCCAGTTCTGAGCCCTGTGAGCTGTGTGATTTTGATCACAGTGGATACCCTCTTTGTCTCAATTTCCTTTTGTGGGAAATGTGGATAGTGATATTCTACCCTACAGTGTTGTGGGAACTGAATCAGTTTGTGTATGTGAAAGTACTTTGCGGGCGGCGCCTGTGGCTCAAAGGAGTAAGGCGCCGGCCCCATATGCTGGAGGTGGCAGGTTCAAACCCAGCCCAGGCCAAAAACTGCAAAAAAAAAAAAAAAAAAAAAAAATGGAGAACCTTGGCTCGGCACCTGTGGCTCAAGTGGCTAAGGCGCCAGCCACATACACCTAAGGTGGCGGGTTTGAATCCAGCCCAGGCCTGCCAAACAATAATGACGGCTGCAACCAAAAAAATTGCTGGGCGTTATGGCAGATGCCTGTAGTCCCAGCTACTTGGGAGGCTGAGGCAGAAGACTCGCTTGAGCCCAGGAGTTGGAGGTTGCTGTGAGCTGTGATGCTATGGCACTCTACCCAGGGGGACAGCTTGAGGCTCTGTCTCAAAAAAAATAAAAAAAATAAAAAAAAAAGAAAGTACTTTGCAAGCTGTGAAACACTAAACAGATAGTGTTATTTATCTGTATTGGTTTCAAACGCACAATTTTATCTCGTCTTGTTGCAACATATTTTTACCTAAGTTTTGATTGTGTCTTCATTCAGTTCTGCTTTTATAAAGCAAAAACTCTCTTAATTTTGGATTTTAAACTGGTAATAAAGGCTTTTAAGTATGTGTTGATTAATATTGATTACATATACATACAAACTGTCTTGAATAAATTTTCAAATAATGTTTCACAATTTTACAAGTATTTGTTAAACTCTATTGATTTAGTAAAATCTTTCCCAGAGATTTAGAGATGAGAGATGCTATGCTACCATTCGAGATTATTGATGCTGGTTCACAAAGAAATTTTAAAAAACTCCACCCTGAAAAAAACATAAAACTCCATCCTGGCTTTCCTTTCTTCCAGCCACCTCTAACCCCATTCTTCCAAATACCTACCCTAAAATTTTTTTGCTGGCTATGAATGGGGTTAGCATTGCTGCCTGCCTTTCTGGTTCTCTATTAGCTTCCCATGGCACAGTGGACACCTGTTTCCCACCATTTGGGAAATTTTCCTTGTGGAAGATTAATTGTTAGAAGTTAGATAATTTTCCGATAGGAAAGGCTAGTTTGACTTATGAATCTTTATTGAAGTATAACTTTTGTTGTACCTTTGACTTTAATTATACTGTTTATTTTACATGTCTAGCTTATTTAAAATCAAGACATCCACTGCAATTAGTTTTTGTTCATTACAGTTGTTGATTGTAGAAAATCTGTTTAGTAAATTGACTTAAATCTATTGCCTAGGTTAGTGAAGTATAGTTCATTGAAAATATCATAGCCTGATAGTTTTCCTTGAAAAGCCAGTACTTTGTGAAATTCTTGACACATTTGCTTGTGACTTGTGTGTGATCATTGACTATAGATAATACTTAACCTATGAAACGGTCTTATCTTGCCTTTCTGACTTTTCTTTAAAAAGTCCCTTATAAAGATATAATCAGCTCTATTAAGTGGTAATAATGGAGATGTGGTGAGAAAGGAAAAGTTTATAGATGACTCCAAATTATGTTTAAACAAAATTACAGCAATGTTTAGATTATCCAGGGGCAGTTAACCAATTTAAGCATGGTTACAGTAGAGATCTACACACAGGAGCTCTGTAATTAGGCAGGCACCCTACAAACAAGTCCTTGCTGTCAGATGCTACTTAGATGTAAGCTCAGGAGGGAGATATCACAGTAGCTACCCAGGATTCCCATGGCAGTTTCTTCAGTCCTGTAGCCAACCCTTTACATATTGACATGTGCTTTCCCAGGAAGAAGGGGTAGTGAGGAAGAAACTTAACTTAGCTATTTTGAAAAGTTAAGCAGACGTGGTTTTCACAAATTTGGGAAAACCTTTTGTATTTTTTATAATAGTATCATTCAAATACAATCCAGTTCTTCAATTAACATTTTGTCTTGTTTCCAGTTGTTAGAACCTGTATGTCACCAGCTCTTTGAGTTCTATCGTAGTGGAGAGGAACAGCTGCTTCGATTTACACTGCAGTTTCTCCCAGAACTGATTTGGTGCTACCTTGCTGTCTCAGCCAGCAGAAATGTGCATCGCAGTGGATGCATTGAAGCTCTTCTTCTAGGAGTTTATAATTTGGTTCGTATTTAGTAGTTAACAAAATGTTTTTGCAAAAAAATCAAATATATGAATTTTGAAATTGCTTTTCATCTTCGTAAAGCTAATATTTATGTTTCAAATAACTCATAGCTCATTCTCCCACCTATAACTATATGGGGGACTAGGGATTGAGGGATATACAGGCATAGATATAATTATGTAAATATACCTTTATAAATTAATTGAAAGCTGAATATCAGACCATTTCTATTCTTTTATGGAAGTATCTGAAAATATTGATATTGCATTCAATTTTTTTTAACTTAACGGTCTATTTTCTATGAAGTATCTGTTTTTGACCTTCACAGAAAGTTTAAAGATCTACCCTAATATTTACCAGTCATAATTCCATAAATCTGTACTGTCTCTAGAGTTTACGCTATTGATTTAACATATAGTTTGCATTACTAATAGAATTTGTATATCATATATGTAAAGTATATACTTTTTAAAATACAAAAGAAATGTAAGGTCATAATTCATAATTCATATTTGAATCAATTGATTTAGAAAACGTAACTTGTTACATGAGGAAGATCAACAATCTTACGTTTGTTTATATCTGTATCTTGGCCATTCTGAAAATTATGTCACTTATATTTTAAAAGTAGAAGGATGTATGTTTTAACTACTGATATTTGTTAATAATTGATAATAGATTATCATGATTTAGGATTTTTTTGTTATTATTGTTGGGGATTCATTGAGGGTTCAAGAAGCCAGGTTATACTGATTGCATTCGTTAGGTAAAGTCCCTCTTGTGTCTTGCTCCCAAAAAGTGTAGCACACACTGAGACCCCCACATCCCCCAGCCCCCTTCCTTCTCTCTGTTCTTTCTTTCCCCCACCCCTTCCCTCCTTCTCTCTCTCTCTGCACTCCCCTTCCCCCACCTCCTACCATGTACTAAGTAATTAACTGTCCTCCTATCAAAATTGAATACATAGGATTCATGCTTTTCCATTCTTGTGATGCTACCAAGAAGAAGGTTTGCCACTTCTATCCAAGTTAATACACAGGATGTAAAGTCTCCATCTTTTTTAATGGCTGAATAGTATTCCATGTTATACATATACCACAGCTTGTTAATCCATTCCTGGGTTGGTGGGTATTAGGCTGTTTCTACATTTTGGCGATTTTAAATTGAGCTGCGATAAACAGTCTGGTGCAAGTGTCCTTACAATAAAAGGATTTTTTCCCTTCTAGGTAAATGCCCAGTAATAGGATTGCAGGATCAAATGGGAGGTCTAGCTTGAGTTCTTTGAGGGTTCTCCATACATCTTTCCGAAAAAGTTATATTAGTTTGCAGCCCATGATTTAGGATTTTAATTAACTTTAAAATTTCTTTCTATTCAGGGCTTTTTAAAAAAAAATCCACATGAACCATTTAAACTTAGCTTTTAAGTTTATGTGTAAAAGATAAATATTTTAAGATATTTTCTTTCTGTTTTGTAGGAAATAGTTGACAAACAAGGACATAGCAAAGTATTGAGTTTTACAATTCCCTCTTTGTCCAAACCATCTGTATATCATGAAGTAAGTGACATTTTATCAAAGTAAGTTTATTGGTTTTAAAATTAGATATTGCCGGCTTGGTGCCTGTGGCTCAAGCAGCTAAGGCACCAGCCACATACACCTGAGCTGGCGGGTTCGGATCCAGCCTGGGCCCGCCAAACAACAATGATGGTTGCCACCAAATAGTCGGGCGGCGTTGTGGGTGCCTGTAGTTCCAGCTACTTGGGAGGCAGAGGCAGGAGACTCGCTTGAGCCCAGGAGTTGGAGGTTGCTGTGAGCTGTGATGTCACAGCACTCTATCCAGGGGGACAGCTTGAGGCTCTGTCTCAAAAAAAAAAATTTTGATATTGCCATAATTTATGGTCTAGTTATTGAGGCAAAAAAATGATCAATTTATTAGTACCTTAAAAAGTATAAAACAACATGTGAGCTAATTATTATTCCCAAAGTGAGATGAGAAGGCAAAATCATTAAACTTTGAAATCTGTTGTAAGGGGTTTATTGACAGTATTCTTTGTGAAGTATTTCTCTCTTTTCATTATCAAAGAGACTAAATTTTTTTTTTTGTTTATGTGTAGCAATTATATATTTCCATGGTAGAATTTTTCAAAATTAAGCTACTTTTCTTTCTCATTTGTGGTTCTTTAATTATTTGCCAAATCTTTGAGCAGAAAATTTGGTAGGCAGTGTAAATATTTTTAAGCTATGTGATGTTCATGATAGCCATTTTTAGTGGTGTTTGTATTGTAAATATCACATTTTCAACAGGATAGCTTTTTCTTTATTCCAATGTCTTTTTTTCCAGCCTTCCAGCATTGGGTCCATGGCTCTGACGGAGAGTGCACTATCGCAGCACGGTTTATCAAAAGTTGTGTACAGTGGACCTCATCCCCAAAGGGAGATGCTGACAGCACAGAATAGGTACCCTGTGGAGACGTAACTTCTTATCTTACTACATTGACTTAACAAAAAATTATGTCAGTAGATTTATAAATAATGCTTAATGAATTGTGTGTTTCACTTTAAACATTGAGTCATTTTAAGCAAGAGAAAAACACATTTAGATTTGTTACTGTACTTTGTAAACCTCACATGTCATCTGGAACATTGAATTTTTAAGATAAGCTTCATATGACTGTTATTTGGAAAGTCTTTTTATTCTTTCAGTTTTTCATTATTGGTGCCTTTATGTTATACACATCTGTTCAGTGACATACTATCTCTCCCCTGTGCCTGCCCTCATCCCTATTACAGTTGACTTCTCAGAGTTCTTAAGATTTGTTGACATCCTTTGGTTTGCCTTTAGGTTTGAAGTGCTGACATTCCTCCTGTTGTGTTACAATGCTGCCTTAACCTATATGCCCAGTGTTTCTCTTCAATCACTGTGTCAAATTTGTTCAAGGTAAATTAAAATTAAAGTGTTTCTGGTATTTAAATCTAGGACTGCTAGTTTGTTATATACCTAAGTTACTTTTGTTTTGTGTAATCATTTGTTTAAAAGATAAGTTATAAAGCTCAGCCTACTCTGTACATACAAAATTCCAATTCCATATAAATGATAGTTAGAAGAAATGTAAAGAATGTAAAGCTAGGCTGGGCACAGTGGCCCAGACTTCTTAGCAGTTTGGGTGGCTGAAGCCAGAGATTGCTTCAGGCCAGGAGTTTGAGACCAGCCTGAACAATATAGTGAGACCCTCATGTCTATAAAAGAAATAGAAAAATTAGCCAGAGATGGCGATGTGGACCTACAGTCCCAGCTACTTGGAAGGCTGAGGCAAAAGGCTCACTTGACACAGGAGCCTGAGGTTGCTGTAAGCTTTGATGATACCACTGAACTCTCTCCCAGGCAATAAAGCGAGACCCTGTCTCAAAAAACAAAAAAGCAAAAAAACCCCAACAAACAAAAAGAATATACAACTGAGTTGCATTTAAATGGAATAATTAATCAGAAAAGGATGAAAAGGATTATGTTGAAAGGATAGAGCTATTATGAAGTTTCAATTTTTTGGCATGTGGTTTGGTTCATTTTTGTTTGCTTTTACTTATTTATTTATGCTATACTCTAATTTGGCACTATGGAATAAATAAGAGATACTGGTTTTTTTTTTTTATTGAGACAGAGCCTCAAGCTGTTGCCCTGGGTAGAGTGCTGTGACATCACAGCTCACAACAACCTCCAACTCCTGAGCTCAAGTGAGTCTCCTGCTTCCGCCTCGCAAGTAGCTAGGACTACAGGCGCCCACTACAATGCCCGGCTATTTTTTTGTTGCAGCCATCATTGTTGTTTGGCGGGCCGGACTGGATTCGAACCCACCAGCTCAGGTGTATGTGGCTGGCGCCTTAGCGGCTTGAGTCACAGGCGCCGAGCCGAGATACTGGTTTTTAAACTTTTTTCCTTGTTAAATAAATTTAGCCAATGGATTGTTTAAGTAAATTATGATATTTGGGGGTATACTGTGCAAACGTTAAAATATTCTGATTTAAAAGAATATTTAATGATAGTATATTTGGTATGATTCTCACATTGGTTGAGAATAACCAGAATATTAATAATGGTTATCTCTAATTGGTAGAATTAGAGTTTAATATAATTTTTCTCTTTGGTGATTTTTTTCATATTCTCTAAATTTTCTGTAATATGCATGTTACTTTTCTTTAAAAAATGCAAAATCAAAACAAAACAAAGCAAAAATGGCAGAGATTATTGCCTTTGACAATTCAAGTAGATAAGGGAAATTATACAATTAAGAAACTTGTAACTGTGTGTGGTAGCTCATGCTTATAATCCTAGCAGTCTGAGAGGTCAAGGCAAGAGAATCACTTGAGCTCAGGAGTTCAAGACAGACAAGCCTGAACAAGAGTGAGACCCATCTCTACTAAAAATTGAAAAATTAGCCAGGGGTTGTGGCAGGTCCCTGCAGTCCCAGCTACTCTTAAGGTTGAGGCAGAAAGATCAGTTAAACCCAGGAGTGTGAGGTTGCTATGAACTAGACTGACACCACAGCACTCCAGCCTAAGTGATAGAGCAAGATTCTGTCTCGAAATAAATAAATAAATAAAAAGGTAGAAAGAAAGAAATTTGTAAAATAATTTGTATTGGGGGAACTTATTTAGAAGATGCAACTTTCTCAGAGGGAAGTCTATTGAGCAATACTTAGAAATCAAATCAGTCAAAACAAAACAAACAAAAAAATATAACCTGATACTGAATACGATAGAAAGCCAGGTAGGACCAGCAAGAGAAGGGTGTTAACAAGACCAGGGGCTTGTTAAAGAAGATAGAGAAGTGAAATCTTTCAGATGATTCCTGAACTAGAGCATAATTACATTTCCTCACCTTGAAAGATGACACCAACATGCCATCTCTCCCACTTAATGAATCTTTCTAACATGTGTCTTGTTTTAAATTGTTTAAAAGCAATGGTGTCCAGACTCTAATTTCACAGATCTGTAACATTTCAAAAAAGGTGGAACAGGTGGGTTATGTGCATAGTGTTGCCAACTTTTTATTTTGCCAAGTAATTATATTATAAATATCTACCATCAACATTATTTATCAAAAGGGAGTCTATTTTAACATCAAAAAAGGAAGAAGGATGGAAGAGAAGGCTAGCAATTTACAAATTTAAAATGTTCAACATTCCTTTCTTTTCTTTTCACTATGATCTAGTGAAAACTTTATTATGGGCAAAAACAGACATACAGACCAGTACTTCAGAAACACTGGCTTAAATAGTAACTAAATGCAGCTAATTTTTGAAACCCCACAGATGGTCTAATACAATGCCCTAGAAAGAGCCACCTTTGGCTTTGCTGAAAAGTTAGGAAAGAACATGTATCACTGGTTTTTTTCTCTGTGTAACCCTAATATACTGCATTTCAGAATAATATAATTTTTTTTGCAATATGGGTAGGAAATTGCTAATACTGTGTATACCAATCTTAACCTAACCAGGGGACTGAATAATATTTTAACTTCAAAGAACCTAAGTAAAAGTTGATTTTAAAAACAAAGAGAAACATATATTATTTAAAAACTGGATGTAGGATATGACCAAGAAATATTTTAGTAGAAATAGATTAATATATGCCACAAGAAAAATTAATTCTGTATAAATGCCTACCAGCTATAAGAAAATGAGGATGGGAAGAGATCTAAGTAATTCAAGACTTAAGTAATGCTAACTCTTAAACCACAAAACATTATATAAGAGGAACTCCTTTAAATTTGTTGTTCCTATCTTTTTTAGTTGTTTAGGTTTTTCATTTTTATTTTAGATTCATTATAACTGTATTCTCAATGGCAAGACCCAGTTATTATTTTCTTTTAATTCCTAGTTTCCTTAATCATTTATCAAATGTTCTAATTGGGAGGTTTTGTGTGGTTTTTTTTGGTTTTTTGTGTTTTTAAGATGAATAGTAAAAAATTAGAAAACACTGGCTTGGTGCCTGTAGCTCAGTGGTTAAGGTGCCCACCACATACACTGAGGTTGGTGGGTTTGAACCCAGTCCAGGCCTGCCAAACAACAATGACAACTATAACAACAACAACAAAATAGCCAGGCATTGTGGCAGGCACCTGTAGTCCCAGCTACTTGGGAGGCTGAGGCAAGAGAATTGCTTAAGCCCAAGAGTTTGAGGTTGTTGAAAGCTATGATGACATGGCATTCTATCAAGGGTGACATTCTACCAAGGGTGACTCTGTCTCAAAAAAAAAAAAAGAAAGAAAGAAAAGAAAACAATTAGAAATACTTCTATCTATTCAAGTCTAATTCATATCTATGGATTCTGTGGAAAGAAAGTTGTTTATAGAGCTGTGATGATAAGTAAGTTAAAGTACAAGAGCTTCTTGATTATTTCAATACTAGTATAGGTTTCCCTGGAGTAGAAAGTGATCACACTGTATACACTGTGGCTAATCCTGCCCTTTTGGCCATGTGACAGTTATATTAGATCACTGCTTAATTTGATTGATGATTATACCAAAATGATTGACTGGTCATACAGAAGGAAGGATATACAAATATAAACAGAAAAATTTCATAGAAGATATGAGCCAGATTCAGTGACAGATGTGTCCCATTCTTTAATCTTCTGATTGTAATGAATCATGGAAATAATTTAAAAAATCTTGAATACTTTCTACTCTCCATCCACACACATACACATGCATATCCATTGTACTGAACAGAAATTTGCTCAGTTGCTACCAGCTTTGCTTTCCTGATTCAGACTGATGGCCTACTTGATAGCCTGTGTTTTCTTCCCACACAGTATATATGACCTGCTTAAAGAAGAGATCTGAAAGTGGGCAAGAGGTAGACTGAATAAGTTGTAGTTAACAAATTTTTATTCTCTGCTAATACTAAACATTGTATATGGCACTATTAAAAGAAATATGCTCACTAATGCTACAAATAAGTTTTGCAAGTATATAAAAGAATCCTCTAAATTTGAGGAAATAATTTTTTTTTTTAGTTGTGTTTCCTTTATTTGCAGTTGAACAAATTCTAACTCCCTCAGGTTCTCAATCATCTATAAGAAAACTTCTAAGCTTAGAACCCTGAAATATTATTAAACATGCATATAATCAGATCACAGCCTGGCCTGCTATCCTGATTTCTGTGATACCCTGTCATGTATTTCGGGTTCCAGTGACACAACTAATTATCCAGAATGTCCCGTTAATATTATGGCACTTCTTTCATCTCAGAATTCCCTCTTCTCCATGCCTGTATTTAGCTCTTTATCTTCCAATCCTCATCTGAGATTGAGCTCAGAAATTGCTTTCTTCATGAATCTTACCTTGTTTTTCTCACAGGCAGACTATCCTTATTCTTTTCTCTCAATAACAACTCAGATATCTTAATCATTGCATTTATTATTGCTTGCTATGATTATTTACTCAATGACAATAGATTATGGACTTAATGACTCATATTCACTGTTAAGTTTCCCTAGTCTAACATGCATACACGTTCTATTTTTTTTGTTTAACATTTCCTTACAAACATGTTTTTAAAACATTGTAGGCTCAGTGCCTGTGGCTCAAGCAGCTAAGGCACCAGCCATATATACCTGAGCTGGCATATTAGAATCCAGCCAGGGCCCGCCAAAACAACAATGATGGCCGCAACAAAAAAATAGCTGGGTGTTGTGGGAGGCGCCTGTAGTCCCAGCTACTTGGGAGGCGGAGGCAGGAGAATCGCTTGAGACCAGGAGTTGGAGGTTACTGTGAGCTGTGTTGCCACGGCACTCTACCCAGGGCAGCTTGAGGCTCTGTCTTAAAAAAACAAAAAAACAAACAAACAAAAAAAACAACCTAATTGCAACGTTATCTTGTTTCTGCCAAAATAAGCTTTTGTTTGTGATACTACAATATCAACATTAAAGAAATTCAAT